TTTTTGATGGTCTTAGGATCAGTTCAGTACTCACAAGGTAAGAGCTTTGATTTGTATGGGTTATTTGTCGGTTAGCCGTACCTTCATCATTGTACAGCTATCGTCGCTGAAAGTGATTTCCTAAACCATTACCCTAACCCTAAACTTGTATTAGCCCTTATCTTATAGCCCGTGACTCTGCTTTGTACGTAACGCTAGCCACAAGGGTAAAAAAAGTACGTCAGCTTTACTAATATACGTGGGACGGCGTGGTCGAATGGTAGTGCATGCGACTGCTAACCCGAAAGTTACAAGTTCGAATCCAGGTTCCAGTTCGTAAAACGTCCTAGAGTACCCCCCCCCCCCCGAGCTCTGATGCGTTCCTGCCTGATGTTAGGGAAAGTAAAGTCGACTGGGCATAGTGCTGACCACACTATTCCTTCACATAATTAAGTGAACTCTACTTCACCTGCACCATAGATCGTAAGGTTTGAAAGGGTACTTTTATACAGTCATTCACATATTTAGTATTACAGAATACAATTGTAATAATTTACTATTACATTTGTCTTTCCACGCTAATGTTCTACAAGGGTTTACATTTTCTATTTTAAGTAGTGTTAGTTTCTTATTCACCTATATATATATATATATATATATATATATATATATATATATATATATATATATATATATATATATATATATATTTAGCAAGATTCAAATCATATTGAAATGAAAGATTAGAAACATTTCATCAATGTAGTTGTCTGGAGGCCAAGTGTCTAGTAGTTTCGTTCAAGTTAATTTCCAGGAAAACAAGTAACTGATATTTTGTAATAATCAGGTCGGCTATTAATGACGTCACGTCCTTGAAGATTGAGTACTCGAAGCTTTATGAAGATTTGAGAAAAGATTGAAAGAACGGGGGTTGTTACGAAAGTGGGATGAAACACTCAATGTCTATTTCTAAGTGCAAAAATGTTATAACATTTTTATATTTTTTTAGATTTATGATTATTATTTTTTAAAACCATTTTCACTTTGTGAACTTTGGAGGAGAACCCAGCGAAATAATTTTAAGGGCAAAAATTAATAGTTTGACTTTATTTCACAACTTGACTTGATGATCGCCCCTACTACAGGTTCTGTAAATGTTTCAAAGTATATTGGTGTACTCACTACTTGGTGTGCTAATGTCCAAATGTTAATGTACTTAATTATTGCATGTTAGCACATGTATTTTAACATGTATATTTAGATACTGAACTCGTATATATTTACATACTGAACTCGTGTATATTTACAAACTGACTTCGTGTATATTTACATACTGACTTCGTGTATATTTACATATCGACCTCGTGTATATTCTGTGTTTCTTCCAGACTTTTTTCTTCCGGGGGGGGGGGGGCACTTGAAATTTTCGGGGGGGTGGGGGTGGGGGTGGGGAGGTAGACTTTTTCATGGGGGGGGGGCTCTGTGTATATTTACATACTGACCACATGTATATTTTTATACTGACCACGCGTATATCTACATATTGACCCCAGTTATATCAACATACTGACCATGTACTATATCTACATACTTACCACGCATATATTTACATTCTGACCACAGTTATATCTACCTACTGACCATGTACTTTAACATCCTGACCCCAGGTATATCTACCTACTGACCATGTACTTTAACATCCTGACCCCAGGTATATCTACCTACTGACCATGTACTTTAACCTCCTGACCTCAGGTATATCTACACACTCACCATGTGTATATCTACCTACTCACCATGAACTTTAACATCCTGACCATGTGTATATCTACCTACTCACCATGTACTTTAACATCCTGACCCCAGGTATATCTATATACTGACCATGTACTTTAACCTCCTGACCCCAGGTATATCTACCTACTCACCATGTACTTTAACCTCCTGACCCCAGGTATATCTACCTACTCACCATGTACTCTCACCTCCTGACCTCAGCTATATCTACCTACTCACCATGTACTTTAACCTCCTGACCCCAGGTATATCTACCTACTGACCATGTACTTTAACCTCCTGACCCCAGGTATATCTACCTACTCACCATGTACTTTAACCTCCTGACCCCAGGTATATCTACCTACTCACCATGTACTTTAACCTCCTGACCCCAGATATATCTACCTACTCACCATGTACTTTATCCTCCTGACCCCAGGTTCACCACGAGCCGCGTGTACGTCCGTCATAGTCAACTGTTTTGTTGACCCGTGCATGTTCGCTCAGTGCTCAGTGGCAGGTGCCGTCTGCAGGTCTGTATAACATCTCTGTAGTACTCACCTATTGCATGCACACTCTAGGCAAGATTTCATTGACACTACCACTACGTTTTTGGTTCGGTGACAAATATATTAATCAACAATATCTACTGTAACCATTGTTTAATTGTTTTTTTTTTTTTTACACTTCAGGTCAAATTACTGTAAAACCTAATTACAAGATATAAAAAGCACCAAATATATAAATAGCAATATCTACTTTAACCTAGTAAGCGTTTGTTCTTCTTCATTAAAAATCTACTCTAAAAGACTAATCATAAGTTACAAAATGTATCGTTGCTTCAGTCCTCAATTTATATGAAATATTGAGTACATTTATACAGTAAGCAAAACAATGTCTAAATGCCTGTTCTCGTCCAGATCAAACTAATGCAGTGGCGTAGCGAGGTCGGGTGTCACCCGGTGCGGCACTTAATGGTGTCACACAGACATATAAACAATATTGCAAAATTATGTTTTACCTTATCAGTGAGGTGTAAAACGTCGAGATTTGTAAAAATCTCGATTTTTTCTTGCACGATTACAAGACTTTCTCTATACTTCGTATATACGAGAAAGTAAAAAACTGAAATTGCTTAAGTAAATTAGCCAATCTCTAATTGTTTTCCTTCAGGTCCAACTACTTAAAAAATTAAAATTGCTTAATTAAGTAAATTAACCAATCTCTAATGTTATGTTGTCCTTCAGGTCCAACTACTTAAAAAATTAAAATTGCTTAATTAAGTAAATTAGCCAATCTCTAATTGTTTTCCTTCAGGTCCAACTACTTAAAAAACTGAAATTGCTTAATTAAGTAAATTAGACAATCTCTAATGTTATGTTTTCCTTCAGGTCCAACTACTTAAAAAAACTGAAATTGCTTAATTAAGTAAATTAGCCAATCTCTAATGTTATGTTTTCCTTCAGGTCCAACTAATTAAAAAAACTGAAATTGCTTAATTAAGTAAATTAGCTAATCTCTAATGTTATGTTTCCCTTCAGGTCCAACTACTTAAAAAACGAAATTGCTTAATTAAGTAAATTAGCCAACCTCTAATGTTATGTTTTCCTTCAGGTCCAACTACTTAAAAAAACTGAAATTGCTTAATTAAGTAAATTAGCCAATCTCTAATGTTATGTTTTCCTTCAGTTCCAACTAATTAAAAAAAACTGAAATTGCTTAATTAAGTAAATTAGCTAATCTCTAATGTTATGTTTTTCTTCAGGTCCAACTACTTAAAAAAACTGAAATTGCTTAATTAATTAAATTAGCCAATCTCTAATGTTATGTTTTCCTTCAGGTCCAACTACTTAAAACACTGAAATTGCTTAATTAAGTAAATTAGCCAATCTCTAATGTTATGTTTTCCTTCAGGTCCAACTACTTAAAAAAACTGAAATTGCTTAATTAAGTAAATTAGCTAATCTCCAATGTTATGTTTTCCTTCAGGTCCAACTACTTAAAAAACTGAAATTGCTTGATTAAGTAAATTAGCTAATCTCTAATGTTATGATTTCCTTCAGGTCCAACTACTTAAAAAAACCTGAAATTTGCTTAATTAAGTAAATGAGCTAATCTCTAATGTTATGTCTTCCTTCAGGTCCAACTACTTAAAAAACTGAAACTGCTTAATTAAGTAAATTAGCCAATATCTAATGTTATGTCTTCCTTCAGGTCCAACTACTTTAAAAAAAACTGAAATTGCTTAATTAAGTAAATTAGCTAATCTCTAATGTTATGTTTTCCTTCAGGTCTAACTACTTAAAAAAACTGAAATTGCTTAATTTAGTAAATTAGCTAATCTCTAATGTTATGTTTTCCTTCAGGTCTAACTACTTCAAAAAAACTGAAATTGCTTAATTAAGTAAATTAGATAATCTCTAATGTTATGTTTTCCTTCAGGTCTAACTACTTAAAAAAACTGAAATTGCTTAATTAAGTAAATTAGCTAATCTCTAATGTTATATTTTCCTTTAGGTCCAACTACTTAAAAAAACTGAAATTGCTTAATTAAGTAAATTAGCCAATCTCTAATGTTATGTTTTCCTTCAGGTCCAACTACTTAAAAAACTGAAATTACTTAATTAAGTAAATTAGCTAATCTCTAATGTTATGTTTTCCTTCAGGTCCAACTACTTAAAAAACTGAAACTACTTAATTTAGTAAATTAGCCAATTTGTAATGTTATGTTTTCTTTCAGGTCCAACTACTTAAAAAACTGAAATTCCTTAATTAAGTTAATTAGCCAATCTGTAATGTTATGTTTTATTTCAGGTCCAACTACTTAAAAAAAACTGAAATTGCTTAATTAAGTAAATTAGCCAATCTCTAATGTTATGTTTTCCTTCAGGTCCAACTTCTTAAAAAAACCTGCAATTTGCCTAATTAAGTAAATTAGCCAATCTCTAATGTTATGTTTTCCTTCAGGTCCAACTACTTAAAAAAAAAACTTAATTAAGTAAATTAGACAATCTCTAATGTTATGTTTTCCTTCAGGTCCAACTACTGTGGTGGCTGTAACGCTGAGTGGTATGTGGGCTCCACCAACGTCTCGGGGTGCTGCAACGCTGTGGCTTAAACACATGAATTAAACACAACATTTAAATAAACATAAACACATGACATTAAAGAAACATATGAATGAACGTAAATGTATGAAATTAACACATTTGAATAAACATAAACATGACATTAACACACCTGTTGAATAAACATATAATTTGAAAAAAAACATAAAATCAAGCTCTGTTGTTTTTTTTTAATCAATTGTTTTTGGTTAAGTATCGCTTAAACACATGAAATAAACACATTTAAATAAACATAAAGATGTGAAATAAACACGGCATTTGAATGAACATAAGCACACGAAAAAAAAAGAAAACAGTAGAGGAAATATAAACACACGAAATAAATACATTTGAATAAACTCAAAAACATGAAATAAAATAAACAGTAGAAAAAATATAAACGCGCAAAATAAACACATTTGAATAGACAAAAAAACGGAAAATAAACACAACATCTGAATACACACATTTTTTATATAAACGCACCATCTAGCAGTCGTTACTTTTACAATCTAAATCGCTACGTTGAATATAAATGTCAATCAGTTTAAAAAAAGAGTTAAAGTTGTTTTAAATAAATTAAATGTCACACTTATGTAGTTGTTGAAAGGTTAGTCGTATCTTATTTAAATCACGCTGACTACCTACTGTTACAGTCTAGGGTGTGAGTCACTCATTGTTGTCTATCGTAGTCATCGAATCGCAGTGTGGGTAGTTGATTTTTTGTCTCCACTGTCTTTTTTTCCCTGGTTTGATTTCTTAGGTCTATGTTTTCCGTGGTTTTCTCTGTCTTTGTCTTCCGTTTTACCATTGTTTTTGTTTTCCGTGATTTCCTCGGTCTTGATTTTCCGTTGTTTGCTTTGTTCGTTTTTTTGTTTTTTTTTTAGTTTTCCGTCGTTTTCTAGTTGTTTTTTTTTCATTTCCGTGGTTTCATCGGTCTGTGTTTCCCGTGGTTTCCTCTGACTTCGTTTCCCGTTATTTTCTCGGTCTTTGTTTTCCGTGAATTCCGTGGATTTTGTTTTCTGTAGTTTCTACTGCCTTTATCTTTGTTTTCCGTAGTTTTCTTTGTCTTTCTTTTCCAAGATTTCCTTCTTTGTTTTCCAGTGGTTCCATGATTTTATGTTTTCAGTAGTGGGTTTTTTTTTTGGGGCTCTATGGTAAGTAGTTTTATGGGTCATCTTTGTCAGAGTTTTTTATGGCCTCTTTGTCTAAAGTTGTCGTATCCATCAATTTCATCAAGACATGTTGCGCAGAGCTACAAGAGAGCTGCCTTATAAAATAGTTACATCGCTACACACATACTTGCCCTCCCCATACCCCCCCCCCTCGTTCTCCAGCACGTTCAGAAATTAATTCTCAACCCAGTGCCTCCAATAAATCTGTTGTTCAATGACTTTTTATTTTCTAAATGTTTAAAAATCATATTTCTACCTTATTAAAACTAATCACATTTCAAAACGTATAAACAACAACGGTAAATTGCCCTTTGTTATTCAATCCGTTTATAATATAATTGTAAACTGATTAGGTGTATTAATTGCTGATAGTTTACACCGAAGATAATTACAATCGAAATTATTATTTTAAAGTTCTTTATTGATTGATAGAGGGCGTGGAGTTCTAGTCATTAAATAGGTGATGTATATATATATATATATATATATATATATATATATATATATATATTATAAACAACGCAGGGTGTTGAAATAGGGTGGCGTAGTTTTATGATTGTGGGCTAAACTACCTTGTTTACACGAATAGAAACAGAAAGACAAACACGATTGTAAAGCATTTTTTCATATGCAGAAGAAACCTCGAATTTTGATTTTTACAACCCCTCTACCCCGTAAACGAGATTATTAAAAAAAATTATTTTTTTCTGCAACACATTAATCATGATTTATTTTAGTCATTAAATGAATATTTATCTGAGGTACAAGTACGTATTATTTTTTAAATCATAAAAAAAATCTATACAAATCTATAAAAAAAAAAAAAAACATAATTGACGTTTTGACTACAAATCTCTGTTCTAAAATTTTCACACAACAGTAAAAAAACCAATGAAATCAAATTGTAGCGTACGTTCTCTTACAAGATGAAAGCCAAACTTTCATAAAATAAACCTCCACAATCAAAAACATCAAAGCTTATGATCTAAGCAAGCCTTGACTAATTTTACATTGACACGTTTTTTTACTTGTGGCGTTAAAGTACGATCAATCAAAATAAAACACTTCATTTTATTTTTAAAAATTAAAACATGAAAAAATACTGACCTAAAATTGAAGGTTTGTAGATAATGATTGCAAGAAACGACCATGCTAAAGACTGAAATAGAAACTACGCTATGGGGAACAAGACTAATCTGAGCTAAATATAGCATCAAGAGTGGGTTTTCAGAAAGTCAAAGGAAAAGTAGGGGCATCTTGTTTGTGTCTTTTTTGTGATGTTTGTATTGATGGAGCTCTAACTAAAAGGAAATTTCAATTTTTTTTTTTTTTGTAGATTGTAGCCTACATGTTTACAATATAATATCATCAACATAAACATATTAAGAATACTGACTGACACATACACGGGCCGTGATTTTGAAGATTACAAACAATCATACAATGGACGGTTTGGTCGGATGGTAGAGCGTACGACTACTAACCCTGTAGTCTCCAGTTCGAATCTCGGGTTCATGTCAGTAGAACGTTCCTGGGTCCATCCATCTCTGTTGGGTACCTGACTCACGTAGGTGAAAGTATAACAAAAAAAAACGGCTGGTCGTAGTGCTTACCTCACTATGTCGAGGTCACTAAATAACGTGAACTCTACTTCACCTACCCCGTGGACTGTAAGTTCCGAGATGGTACTTGTATAAAACATGCTTTTTATTTATATAATATAACCATTATCCCAAGTACACTTGAACGTCAGCCGTTTCGAATAAAATAGAATAAAAACCCGAATCTCCTTTTAAATTCTTGCTTCATTTTACACTTTCATCCCGGATTTTTATTACAAAATGGCAGCAATTATCAACAGCGCCTATGGTCAAGACAGGTTATGATCTTTTTATTTTTTTATACGACACCGGGGGTGATAATTTAGTTGTCTTTTATTGTATTCAGGTATGCACTAAATCAGAAGGTCATGAGGGGGTTTTGAACTTATTTTCTAGTGCTTTCTGAAGGGGCGGCGGGTGGGGGTGGAAAGTGATACGGACGCCCTAGGGCCCAGCATTTAAAGACGCCCCGCGACTTATAAAATAATTTGAGATGGAAGAAAATTGATGTGCAGATAATATTTCAAATTTAGCAATTTATTGTTTTCAATCAATGTTCTTCACTTTAAAATTGACATTCGTCATTAAAATTAACTTTTTTTTGCTGGAGAATCATCTTTGTTGTTTCATATTTCGTTTTGAGAAAAAAAAAATGATTATGATTGAATAGCTGTAGGAAATGCTTTAAAAATATATGTTTTTCCTTGTTCTTAATTGTAATGCTCAACTGGATTTCTTCTAACACAATTAAGTATTACGTGTCAATTTTTTAAGCTCTACAAAGGCCGTTGTCTCCGACTTCGGCCTACATTTTTTAGATATATCTCCATAGCCTTTTTCCAACCAAGAACAAACTACAAGCCATTATTTTTTTTTATTTTATATTAGAAGAGTTGCTGTCCCCAGCTAACGAGCCTCATCTTCCTGAGGGTTCGAACTCGAAACTTTTCGGTTTAGCAGTCATGAGCTTTACCAGCTTTCCAATCTCTCAAACTAATCCTGAACTACTGTATACTAACTTCGGTGTTCCGTTGATTGTTGCCTCCAGACTTTGCGCTGTTGGGTCGACACCTCACGCCACTTGTAGTTGTTCTAAGTCAGAGAAATTCATAAAAAAATGTTTTAATAACAAGCTTGTATGTAATAATGCACTAAAAAGTAGAAAATAAATTATACACTACTATTTAAATAACTATAAAGAGAAGCGTGGGTCACTTTAGTATCTATTGGATAACACTACTAATATTTAGGAAGAGACCCACGTTTTTCTTTGTAGTTATTTAAATAGTAAGCTATCCTTTATTTCCTACTTTTTAGTGCATTATTATATAAAAGCTTGTTATTGAAACGTTTTTTATGAATTTCTTTTCTTGTTGCTTTTTTGTGTGATTTTTAAAATTGAAATGATAAAAGCGAAAGAAATCAAAGAAATCAAAGTAAGTAAGAAATGAAAGAAAGGAAAGGAATGAAAGAAAGAAATGTCTATTAAAGTAAAGTATTGATATGTCATTGAAACTTCATTCCCATAGTCACATTTTTAAATTGTAAATGTAATCTGATCTTTTTATTATTATTATTTCTTCTCCAAGGTCTTGCCGTGCTATTAAAGGAAGCAAAACGATCTTGGTAAAACTTTAAGTCGGAAATTTTGTTTTAAAAACATGTGAACAATAGCAGAGTTATATATATATATATATATATATATATATATATATATATATATATATATATATATATATATATATATATACACATATATATATATATATATATATATATATATATATATATATATATATATATGTGTGTGTGTGTGTGTGTGTATGTGTGTGTTGACATGATGTGTACTACACTAAATCAATACGATCTTAGCAACAACAAAAAAAAAAAAAGAAAAAAAACATTTTATTTTAAGTTGGATCAATTTGTCAAATATAGCAAGCAATAGAACAGATGTCATTTTCTTGTTTTTCTTTGAGCACTAACTACTGTGGTGGGTGTAGGGTGGTGTGAATCATTGGAGTCTCTGACGTCATATCTAATTGCTAGCCGGTGTGAAATATTGAAAATAAAGTAAATAAAATACTTACAGGAGTCTTATCAGCTGGGTATAGCTTCGGATAATGAAGGCTCTATAGCAATGTCATCAATGGTCAGATAATGAAGGCTCTATAGCAATGGCATCAATGGTCAGATAATGAAGGCTCTATAGTCTATAGCAATGGCATCAATGGTCAGATATTGAAGGCTCTATAGCAATGGCATCAATGGTCAGATAATGAAGGCTCTATAGCAATGGCATCAATGGTCAGATAATGAAGGCTCTATAGCAAGGGCATCAATGGTCAGATAATGAAGG